CATGGCTAACCTAAGTGATCCTGGCTGCTTTACCAGATACTGATCGCCTGCTTGAATTCTCTCATTTCCTAGATAAAAACTGCCAAGGCCCCCTCTCCCTGAGTTGCCCCACTTGTTGACGAGATCTAATTGAGCACTAGCTCCAGTTTCCTTAGAATCATCTAACTTAAGTCTGAATCCTATGAGAAGCCCTTCCCAGCTCCACTTCATGAAATGTCCCATGATTTCTCAAGGGTACCTCCTGACTTGGTGAGGCCAGATAAAGAAATCGAATTAAATTTTTAGTGCAGGTGTGTTCCTGCTGGTCTTTGGCCACTGGGATTTAACATTTGTTAATTTGGAAAGTATGTAGTGCCACACCCTGAAATGAAATTGGAATATATGTTGGGGCAGGGGGAGGGTGGAGTGGAAAGTGAACATGGAAACAGCTTGAGGTGGCTCCGGCATTAGGAAATGAATCAGTACATCTACTGGGCCAATACATTAATCAAAGAAATATAGTAATAGGGTGTCACTTCCATGACACGGTTTTATAGGGGTCCTTGGTACACTGGCAGATTAGAAGCCTATTGGTGCCTTTGGCAATGGAATTCATAATTCAGACAATAGTCTTTCAGCAAAGACTCTTAGGCTCACTTTTATTGGGTCTGTTGGTAAATGAATTTGTTCAGATAATGTTTTTCATCTTTAGAACAAATGAATGAGCCTGTCATATTATGACAGGTGTGCTCTCCCACACACCAGTTTTATCAGGACATAGGTCAGGATGGTTCTCAAGGATGGCTGTTCATGAAGCTCAAGGCCTCCACTGATACTAATAAATTAGTGGGGCAGGTGCAGGCAGGAGTGTATTTTTAAGCCAGCCTGTCTGAAAGGATTAATGGGTCACCAAAAATGGAGCTTATTTATTGTTTGCTGGATATGTAGCCATCACAAATAACTTATTCTTGCTAAGAAAATGCAAGAATTCCTGCTTCTAGGAATGTAAAATCACATTGGGGAGACAAAACTAATAGACACAAAACAGCCAAATTTTCCAATTTGAATGAGATCGAACTACCTCGTTACTTTGCAAACTTGATTGCACGTTGGAATGACCTGGGTGGAGCATTGTCCAGTACACCAAAAGGTGGTGTGCTTGATCCCCAGCCGGGGCCCATAAGAGGAAACTGATCAATGTTTCTCTCTCACATCAATGTTTCTCTCTCTCTCCCTCTTCTCTTTAAAAGTCAATAAAAGGTATCATCTGGCCCACTCTAAGAGATTTTGATTCTGTTGGCTGGGAGCAGCTTGATTACTGACAAGTTTATAAATACCTTCCCAGATGATTCTAACCTCCCAGCAAGTGGGAAAATCACTAGAGCCAATTATCCTTAAGGCTATGACACTAGGAAAGAAAAATTAAAAATAATATGTATATTAGGCACCACAATTAGTAAAAAGAAGTTAACGAAATCCAGTAAAGGGAAGGAAATGGGAGAGAGCGAGAGTAGTTAAGAAAAGCTTCATGGAGTGAGTGGGATTGTCTCTGTTGGTTTGGTATGTACTCTGGTTGGAAGCTGTAATGATGTTGGGTTAAAAGACAAAGAATACTAAGTTTTCCAGTTAACTGTGAGGGGGACCAGAGTTTGCCATTCCAAAGTATGCCTTTTGGGATATTGATTATTTTAGGCTGGTTATTTTTAAGAAACAAAAGACTCGGAAAGCAGCTTACCTGCCTAAAGGAATACCTGCTTAAAGGAAG